TGCCTGACAACCTCTGGCAGGTATCGAGGAAAATGTGCAGCTCTCATCCAGCTCCCCAGCTCCTCGGCATGGGGACTGACACTGCAGAATGACGAGAGCAGGACATCTCCACTCGACACCTGCGCACGTGCAAAATGGGGTCCTACCCGGACTTCTGTCCTGGGATTGCCAAGAGACTCAAGTGAGTTCGAGAGTGTACAGGGCCTGGCACAGGGGGACTGCTCTCTTAAGGCTGCCCTTGATCATCGTGATTTCTTCACCCCCTCCTCCCTTACTCGCTCTTGCATCTGACATTTGTGGAGCCCCTTGTCCTGCCATGCGTTGCTCTAGGCACAGCCCGTGCACGGACACAGTCACCTGTGTGCTTCTTGGGCGCCAGAAGCTGTGTTTAATGAGGAAGAGATGCTGGAGCACAAACACCTCTGCCCCGGCAGGAGAAAGCAAGGTGTAGACGCTGCAGGTATCCAGAGGAGATAAGGTCACACCCAGTTGAAACAGGCTTCACAGGAGGCTGGGGCAGTGGGGAGAACACTCTCTCCTGCAGGAGTGCAGCAGCTGAGCAAAGACCCTGGCACAGCTGAAAAGGGCAGAACCTGTTCTAGGGAGAGTGAGGAAGCCAATGGGAGCGCCAACTCCCTGGAGAAGAGGGAGGGCGTGAGGCTGATTCTGCAGAGGGAAGATAGTGAGCAGCTTTGGGCGCTGGTCCAGCAGACCCAGCTAAGGCCAGCCTGTAAGGAGAAAGGACTGGCAACTCCAAGAACTGTCCCCTGGCCTTGCCTTGATCTGGTCAAAAACCCACCTAGGATCTGCTGGGCTGGCTTCATGTGTGCTGTCCCTAGGGGAGTGGCATAGGGGGAGAAGGGAGGAGTAACTAAAGCACGTGTTTCATCCCAGGCCACCATGGAGATCTGCAGAGACCTCTGCACATGCTCACTCGATAACAGATTGAAGAATTTGACCAGCCCAGTAACCTCACCCTGTGATCCCCCTGAGAGGTCCCCTGGAACTAGCACCTCATATTCTTCTAGGAAGAGATGGGCCAGGGCTACCTTCTCTCTGGGGCCACTATCATGGGGGCAAGGAACCTGTGTGTACCCCAGCCAACCCAGATTCAAGACAACAGGACTTGCCCTCAGAGCATGTGGAGCCTATGGTCCCTCTCCACCCACTGGGAGCTGGCTCCAGGGGTTGAGGCCAGGGGACAAAGAAGGGAATCAGTGCTGGACTTTATAGCATGGAAGCTGTGAGAGGGATGCTTGCTCGTATTGCCCATCTTGCAAAACAACAGAGCTTAGACTCACAGAGCTCTCAGCCAATGGCTTTTCCACCTCAACTCAAGAATCTTTTTTTTTTTTCTTTTCTTTATTAAGAGTAGGAAAATTTATTGAGGGAAAGAACGCTTCTGTCTAAGAGAAACAGAAGGGGGACCAGAAAGAGGGGTGGCACTTCTCCAAGATGTTTTATACAACAATGCCACGTGGTGAGGCAGGTACAAAGTAGAACAAAACTATAAGACCCAGTGGAAAATTACAAGGTGGGCATGAGTTGGGGCAAAACCATGACCAACCAGTAAGATTACAAGTACAGTGACCTAGGTAATGTTGATTAGGTGGGGGTCAAATAAGGGAGCAAATCACACAGCAAGCATACAAGGATTGTCAGTAAGGGTGGGGGTCAGGATATTTCCTGGAAAGGCTGGGTTAAGACCTTGGCCCCCCACCCAGGCGATTGAAACCTATTTAGAATATCAGTCACTGCTCTTTATCTCCAGGGGAAGCACAGGGGTATAGTAGTTTCTCTCTTTTTACCATTCTGGCCACAGTGAATGTGACTTTATTGTCCTCCATGTTGGCTCCTTGCTGTGTTGGTTCCTTGAGGGCTGGCCTATCTCACTGCCTGCAAGATATCTAATTAACTTACCTATCTGCGATATTCCCCCTCTGTAGAAGTACCTCTAACTGCTGTGAGGGGTTAGGTTGAAGACTGCCCTGGCTACTTCCAGCTGAAGAGGGTCATAGTTGTGATCAGCAGTTAGAGTTACTCTACAGAGGGTCTATCTAAAGGCCTCCCATAGGCGCCTGGCATTGTCATCTTGGTAGCTGCATAGTTTTTAAGTCTGGAGGAGACAAAGCCAAAGAAGCAATTAAGAATGCATGGGCCAAATTATGAGGTCAGCAGGATTGCTATGAATATAGCCCACAAAGAGGATAAAGGAGACGGTCCAGGGGACTTCAGAAGTCATATTGTTTAGTTTGGCAATTATGAGCTGTTTACAAGATTGATCTGGTAGATTCTGGTTAAAGAAGTCTAGCACATTTGTCATTGGTTCCATTTGTATGACCACTTGGAGGTTGGCAGCCTCAAAGGTGTAGGATCCTGTAGAAAAGGTTCCTTTGTGTCCTGGATCTTGTACACCTTGAGGGGCCAGGGCCAAAATATTGGCTGTCCTCATAGCCCAGTTACCTTTCTAGTTTTGGTCTCCAAACATTCTGGAAGCTTTGTCTTGAAATCCAGCAACCACAGAGGAGGGAAGTGCCTTGAATTAAATACCATTGAGAACTCCAACCCGTAATCTTGGTGGAAGACCTCCAAAATGATATAGGGCGAAGAAATGTAACTGCCACACCTGCTGGATATCTGAAACGCAAGTTCATGTTCTCTAAAATCAAAGAATGAATTCTAGGAACAATGGAGATTAAGAGTAGGAAAAATTTATTAAGGTAAAGAAAGCTTCCATCTAAGAGAGACAGAAGGGGGACTGGAAAGCAGGTTGCCCCAAGAATCTCTTGCTCTACATGTTATGGAATGTGGTACATAAAATAAAACACAGAAATGGTCTGGTTGAAACAGAATAGAGGCCCTGAGACACACCCTCAAATCCACACTTATCCATGCATTTTATGACCTTCTCATTAGGTCCAGCTATCTCTTACCAGAATGTTGAAATCATATGCAGTATGGAAAGATCCAGATTTGGACCCCAGAGACACAGAGGCCCAAGGCTGCCACTTATGGACCATGTAACCTTGAACCTCACCATGCCTCAGTTTCCTTTTCTAGAAAATGCCTTACCTACTTTTTTTCTGGGATTGTGTGGGACTCAAGCAAGACAGTGCTTGAAAGTGCTTTGAAGAAGAGCAAGAACTCTATGAGCAGTCATCATCTTACAAGGTAGGCACAGGAGTGATGGAAGAACAGAAGGCCCAAGGCTTTCAAGACCAGAGTTCAGCATTCACAAAGTGTTTTCTGTCCCAAGGGCTGGAGCCAGCTGCTGACAGTGCTGGAACCCAAGTGTTCTGTCTCCTGTGTCTGCAAAGGTAGCGCCGTGCCCTTGATGAGCAGCCCTCAGACACACTTTGTCAAGGTGTCTAAGGCGTGACCATCACCTGACGCTGACTCAGCCCCAGGGAGCTCCATCTCTCCTTCCCTAAATGATGGATTCCAGAAGGCACCCAGCCAGCTGCCCCACGGCCCCCAAACTTCACTGGCTTGTGCATCTTGGTGACAAAGGCAAGGGCCAGGTTGGCTCTGTTTCAGGAAAGAAAGTGATTTCTCTCAAAGACCTGGGAGAGCTCTTTTCACCTCCCCAGGTGTTCTCAGCCAGCTCTTGAACTTCACTCAGGATGGACACTTTCAACTCAAAGCACAGGCAAGCAGCCAGGAACTGTGCAGATGAGGGTGGTTGGATTCCTTTCTTCAAAGGCTGCTGCTCCCCGGAGGTAGGAGGCCTCCAGACATTCCTGGCCATGATGCCTGTGGGGTGACCTTGAACACCCTCCTCTCCTGTCAGACCTTTCCTTTCTCCAGGTGGAAAGGAGAAGGGACATCTGCCATGGAACACCTATGCCCTTAGGACTCAAGCAGGAGCTCTGAGGTTTTACTCATTCCATAAATATTTGTTGAGCACCTACTCTGTGCAAGGTATGGTGAACAAAATGGACGGAAAATTCTGTCCTTACAGCACTGACATTCCAGAGCCAATAGAAATGGAAGAGATAAATAAGCAGGCAGAGTGGCTGTGTGTGTGTTTGCGGGGGGATCAAGAGAAATCAGGGGAGGAAGAAGAGTATAGGAGTGCCAGTTGCAGATTGGGGCATGTGGTCAAGGAGAGCCTCACTGAGGAGGAACAAATGAGCAGGAGGTGAGGGACAGCCAGTGGTATGGCTGCCTGGAGAAACAACGTCTTGGACAGAGGGGAATAGCAAGTGCAAAGGCCCTGGCACAGACATGCCTAGGGCTTCTGTATGGGCACAGAAAAGAATCGCTAGCACGGGAGATGAGAAGTGGCAGGCAGTTTCATCCTTGAGTTCCTTAGAAAAAGATCCAGCAGAGCTGTCTAATAACCTTAGCTGTTTGCACGTTCTCCCACCTAAGATACGAGCTCCACACAACTACTGACCTGCTGGGTCTTCCTGCTGTTCCAAAGCTCAGCCCCTCTAGGCTTGCACAGGGATTTGGGGAGAATAGACAGGGCCTAGGTTCAGATACTGTACCTGATGCTCTCTGTGTGACCTTGGGAAAGGTACCCACCTTTTCTGTGCTTCAGTTTCCCTGATGAAGCTCATCACTTGTCTCATCTATAACATGGGTTAATAATACAGCCTCCTTGCCAAGCTCGCTTCATGGGTGTTAGTTTTAACTTAATAAAGACGTAAATGTGAACATGACTTTTACATTGAAATCCCCAAGATAAATGTATGGGAGGTTTTTGTTTTGTTCAGCTAAGCTCTTAGTAAGGGGGTTGCCACTGGCTGCCCATTCCCCTCTGTCACCCTTGCCCTTTATAATATGTCCAATGTAGAGCCAATGGACTCTCACCTGGCCTGGGTCCAAATCTAATCTAAAGAAACTCACCAGACACCCAAGGACCCCGAGGCACGGCTCCCCAGGAATGCTCTGGAGCATGTGAGAGGCTATTCCAGCCCATTGCTCTGTCTTGTCAGGTGGACTGGGTGGACCCAGATCTGCCTCTCCAATGTCCCCTCCCCGCCCTCCTCCAGGTACAATGGCCCCAACTTGGTTCTGAAGTACAACAGGGCCCAGAAGAGGCTGGTGAACATCGCTGAGGATGAGCGCAGCTCACCCTACTATGCCCTACGGGACCGGCAGGGCAACGCCATCGGGGTCACAGCCTGCGACATTGACGGGGATGGCCGTGAGGAGATCTACTTCCTCAACACCAACAATGCCTTCTCAGGTAGGGACAGAGGCCTCGGGCTTCTTCCTGCTTCCGCCTTCCTCCTCCCAAAACCAGTTGAGGGGAGGGCCCTTGGGACCCTGATGCATCTTCAAGCTACTGTCCCCGACAGTCCCTACTTCCTTCAGGATCTGCTTATGTTCAGCAGAGAACCCCATCATGACCCTGTCTTCTCATTTGATGAAGCCTGGCCCAAGGTGCGAGGGTATGACCAGAAGAGACCGGTTCTTTCCCTAAGGCTGGGCATCTTCAACACCTCCCAGTCTGAGCGGCACCTCCATCCTCCTACCTCACTGGCCCACAGGTTCATGCCCTCTGTCCCTGCTCCCTGAGTCACTGCTGTAGCCAGCAGATGTCCCTGGAATCACCCTCCACACTGCTCTAGGAGGCCTTTCTCAGATTCTTGGAAATCCTTAAACCCCAATAGCTTGTTGCTGTTCTCACATATTCATTCCACATGCCCTTGCTCATCACCTACTGCATGCCAGGCAGAGGGCCCATACGACAGGGAGGTGATAAGACAGGAAGGCAGGCCTGGATTCCATGAAGCTTTTTCCAGAGCTTCTCAAGTGTGTGTCAAAGTCACCTGGGGTCTGTGCAGAACCAGACTGGCTCCACAGGTCTGAGAGCTCAAGAGCCTGCATTTCTGACACCATCTGGGCCTGAAGAGAGGCTGCTGGTCCAGGAACCGCACCCTGAGTAGCAAGGTTCTAATGCTGAGGAATGGGTGAGGGAAATTGATGCCTAGAAAGCTACATAACATTTATCTCAGTGGTTCTGCCACCTGCCTTGCAAATGCAAGAACCCAAGTTTGATCTCCGGTACCAAAAAAGAAAGCTACAAAACAGTGACAATAATAACAGCTAATACTTCAGGAGAACGTACTATGTGCCAGTCCTTGATCTCAACACTTGATCTCATGTGGGTCTCACAACAGTTCAGTCAGGAAAGTACTGGTGGTTCCACTTTGGAGTTGAGGAAACTGAGGCACCATGACTCCCCCAAATTGCCCAAGACCTTGCAGCTTATAAGTCCCAAGATTCAAAGTCTATCCTTTGAATCAAAGATACTCTGTGATTGCCTCAACCCTGTATCCTTCAGGCAAACAGAGAACATGGTTGGTTGGGGGCACTTGGTGTTTCACAAGTTGGGGGTTCTCTTCTTTCTCATGCTTGTCCAGGGCCTACTAGAATATTGTGGGGCTATACCATCTGTGGGATAAGTTCTAGGTCGTGGCATTCCCTGGAGATTCAGGTTGGACATATCAGCAGCCTCTTGGGTTGACTCTGGATGAGACCTCGTGGTTCTGACCTAGGCAAACTCTGTCCTAGACCCTCTAATCTCCTGGAGGCTATCAAGTGCCAGTTCATGAAGACCCCTTCCCTGCCCCCAACAATGCCCAATACGTACACACTGGGCCTTTCTGCCTCTACTGGCTGTCAGGCCCAACCCACTGTTCAGCCCCCAGACTGCCCCCGGTTTTGAGCTCTGCCAGTTGCATAAACAGAGGGGAAGAGGTTGGGACCTGTGCCAAGGGCAGCAGTGGGCGGTGTGGGCTGGCTGGCAGCCAACCCTGTGCAGTCAAGAAACAATGAGCCACAGCCCCAAGTGGTGTTTTATGGGTTTTCATCTCATCTTGCCACCAAGAGAGGCCTGAGAGATGGTAATTATCCCTACACAAATATCAGGACATGATTACCCAGCTGGATTTACTGCCTTCTTTCCAACCAAGCCAAGATTGGATTAGGACACAATTAATTGATGGGCTGATCCACTCTTTAATGTGGAGCAAGGTCAGGAAGGGAACTGTACCAAGGGACACTTGTAGAAGGGATGAATCCCCAAGAAGACAGTAGAAGTCCAGAAAGTGGAAATGGGACTATTGTGGAAGGGCTGTTCCCTTTGGGTTCGGCACCAGGATGCCCCTCCATGCACACCAAGCACAGAGCACTTACGTGAGACTCCAGGTGTCTCAGAAGTAGCATTCCCTCCCGGGCTCTTACAGAGCTACAGAGCTGTGGTTCCCAGTCTAGGCTGCAGAGAAGAGTTGCCTGAAAGGTTTCTAATAAGCTCAGCTAAGCTGTAGGTATCAGAGGGCTGGAAGTACGATCCGTTGCTTGATTATATAGCTCTCCCTTGAATTCCTGCATCTTAGGAGAAAGGCCAATGTCTCAGAATCATATTAGCCCGATGCTCACCTCAACAGTGATTAATGTTCCAGTCTCCCATTAATGTTTTCATTCACTGAGCAAATATTTATTGAGCACCTACTATGTGTCAGGCACTGTTCTGGGCACTAAGCATGTTTCCATACGTAAATTACAGAAATCCTGTCCTCCTGAAGTTTGCATTCCACCCCAGCATGGCCTGAAATTTCTCTAACTTCCCTCTCCCAGCTTGTTGAATTCTAATCTCCTTAAGGGAAAGTCCCTGTATTGGTCATATATTGTGGCCCTTGGTGGCCCACCCAGACCTTGACTGTCCTCAGAGCTCCAATAAAATTGGAAGGTAAGTCCCAGGAAGAACAGGTGGGACTGAGCCATTGGGCTGAAAGAAGATTCACCAGTAGAGGAATGTCAAGGGGAGGCAAATTACACTGAGCCCTACTAGAAACATGCACAAATGCCCATCTGGAGGAGCTGGTGCTAGGTCCCAGGCCTGGGGTAGGGACCATGGTGCCCAGGCATGCACTTCCTGGTGTCCTTCTGCAAGCTCGAGGGATGTCTGCAGATCTGAATTAATTTTTCAGTTGAGTGAGTCAATTGATTCATCGATGGGGCAGGATACGGAACCAGGATATTTGTGCCTTCTCAGCACCTCCTTGGGTCCAACTGGCATGGCACTCAGCCATGGCCACCCTGCCCACTGTGGGAGTCATGAGAGCATTCTCATGGTTGCCAGGGGTTTGGAGGGAGCTAGGAAAAGACAGTCCTCTCCCTTCCCCCAGCCAAGAGTTAGAATGTTAGAACTGTGATCCCTGGAAGAGAGCTGAGGCCCTGCAGTGTCCTATGGGGACAGTTCACACCAACTTCAGGTCTGCCGCTTGCTTACTGGTGAATCTGTCTTCTTTAGGGTAGGAAAAAATGTGAGTTTCATAAACTCAGCTCCTTCCAGTGGCTATGTAGACGGTACACGGTCTTTACCATGGTACACAATACATGGCATACAACGCACCGGATGTGGCCAGGCTGCCTGTCTGACATTCTCCTCTCCATTTTTTCTTACTCAATGAATTTCCACCAGAGGGATTCATTCATATTTTCTGCTGCCCTTTCCTGAAATGCCTTTCCAATTGATTTGGGGGAAGGTTACTCTTCAAATAAGAGCACCGTATCCGAAGTCCTACTGATAAAATCCTTAGGTGCTCGTCTGCCTTTATCTTCCTTGGTGGCACTTGCCCCCGCCAGAAAGTGTGCTATATTCTTACTTGTTGTCCATCTTCCCTACCAGACTCTTAACTCTAGGGGGTAGAAACTTTGCCTTGTCCACTGTTGTACTCTTAAAACCCAAAAAAGTACCTATCGCATAGTAAGCATTAAATGTGTATGTTTGAATGGACAACTGGGATAATGAATGAAAAGCATTTATTATGGTGTGCAGGGCTTAATAACTACTCTCAAATAATAGCTGTTGATAATAGTGCTGCTATGAAAAAAACCAGAACCTGTAGAAGTTTTCTGGACAGAGGACCACAGGGCTTCTTCCTGGCTCATGGCAAAGGCACCCTGGACCCTAGGAGCAAAAAAGAGAAAAGGTAAAATTTAAAGAAAACACTGCCCAGGTGATGGTACCAAGTGGGCATGAGCCAAGAGTTAAGGATAAGAAGGTAATGGAAAAGGAGAGGCGAAAGATTGATCAGTATCCCAAGACGGCCAAGACCACAAAACCCGCTAATGGCTTAACTGGCCTGGAAGATGCAAGCCAGGTGTTGCAGACAATGACACCTTGTGCCGCCCAGGTAGGAGGTGTGCCGGGCATGAAGAGATGAGAGACAGGCTCCAGCACGGCCCTTCACCTCCTATAGCTCCTAGACAGAGGCATCCCCCGGAGTCCTGCCCTGCCCCCACCAGAGTTTCCCTTCATGGCTGTGAGCAATCCTGAACACATGACTGGCTGAGTGGTGGGAGCGTGACCACGGGTGGGTGGGTATGAACTGCGAACCCCACCACTCACCGAACGTTTGCTCAGTTTTTAGAAGGGAGCATTCGGCATCTGCTCTGTGCGCGGAAGGTACTGTTTTAAAGATGGGTCTATGTCCTTGTTTCTACACAAACAGAAGCACGCCCTGCTCACACTTCTACACTTAGCATTTTCAATCCATTTGTTGTATTATGTCATGGCAGTATACAGAAAGCGGTCTCCTCTCTGTGTCGCTGTGTAGTCCTCCATTGTACAGTCTTGTCATTAGTCCCTTCTCCTATGGGTGAACATTTAGGTGGTTTGCAATCCTCTTATCTTTACGAAGAATGCTACCAAATGAATAAGCTGGCACAATATGCCATTTCCCAGGATGCAGGATATTTGTGAGTTCACAGAAACAGAGTGGCTGTGTTGAGGAAATTACACTTGTGGTTTTGATAGCTGCACTAAGTTGCCCCCCGCCAGGGATGGCACTCATTACACCCCTATCAGCCATGTCCCCGAGAGCGCTTCCCAACACTCAGCAGCACAATGTTTCATCAATTTTTTTTTTAGTATTTGCCAATATGATAGGAAAAAATTGATTTCCAGATGTAGTTTTAATTTTCATTTTTCTTAAATGAGTGAGGCTGAGAATATTTTTATATATTTGAATCCCCTGTCTGCTCATAGCCTTTGCCCATTTTTTTCTATTGATTATTGGTCTTTTCCTTGATCTGGAACACCTCTTTATAAATTAGGGAAATTAGCCCTCTGTCTGAAATACAAGTTGCAGATGGTTTTCCCCTGTTCGTCATTTTTCTTTTGTCTTTGTTCATATGATTTTTGTAATATGGAAAACTTTCACTTTTAGGGATTTG